GGGGGAATTTTGGGAATTTTTTGGAATTTCAGGGGAATTTTGGGGGAATTTTAGGGAATTTTGAGAATTTTAGGGGGAATTTTTGGGAATTTTGGGGGAATTTGGGGAATTTCTGGGGAATTTTGGGGGAATTTTGGGGGAATTTTGGGAATTTCAGGGGAATTTTTGGGAATTTCAGAGAATTTTGGGAATTTTAGGGAGATTTTAGAGAGAATTGGGGGGATTCTGGGAATTCCTGGGAATTTTGGGGGAATTTTGGGAAATTTTAGGTGAAATTGGAGAAATTTTAGGGAGGTTTTGGGGGAATTTTTTGGAATTTTATGGAATTTTGGGGGATTTTTTGGGAATTTCAGGGGAATTTGGGGAATCTTAGGGGAATTTTGGGAATTTAGGGAATCTTGGGGGAATTTTGGGAATTTTGGGGAATTTTGGGGGAATTTTTGAGAATTTCAGAGAATTTTGGGAGAATTTTTGGGAATTTCAGGGGAATTTTGGGAATTTTTGTGAATTTTGGGAATTTTGGGGGAATTTTGAGGGAATTTTGGGGGAATTTTGAAGGAATTTTGGGGGAATTTTGGGAATTTTTGGGAATTCAGGGGAATTTTGGGAATTTTAGGGAATTTTGGGGGAATTTCTGGGAATTTCAGGGGAATTTTGGGGGGAATTTTTTGGAACTTTAGGGAATTTTAGGGAGTTTGGAGGAATTTTAGGGAATTTTGTGGGAATTTTGTGGGAATTTTGGGGGAATTTTGGGAATTTTTGGGAATTCAGGGGAATTTTGGGAATTTCAGGGGAATTTTGGGAATTTTGGGAATTTTAGGGGAATTTTGGGAATTTTGAGGGAATTTTGGGGGAATTTTGGGAAATTTTAGGTGAATTTGGAGGAATTTTAGGGAGATTTTGGGAGAATTTTGGGGGAATTTTGTGGGAATTTTGGGAATTTTAGGGGAATTTGGGGAATTTTTGGGAATTTTGGGGGAATTTTGGGAATTTCTGGGAATTTCAAGGGAATTTGGGGGAATTTTAGGGAATTTTGGTGGAATTTTTGGGAATTTCAGGGGAATTTTGGGAATTTCAGGGGAATATTTGGGAATTTTAGGGGGAATTTGGGGGTAATTTCAGGGGAATTTAGGGAATTTTGGTGGATTTTTTGGGAATTTTAGGGGATTTTGGGAATTTTAGGGAGGTTTTTGGGGAATTTTGGGAATTTGGGGGAATTCTGGGAATTCCTGGGAATTTTGGGGGAATTCCTGGGAATTTTAGGGAATTTGGGGGGAATTTTGGGAATTTTGGGGGAATTTTGAGAATTTTAGGGAGATTTGGGGGGAATTTGGGGGGAATTTCAGGGGAATTTTGGGAATTTCAGGGGAATTTAGGGAATTTTGGTAATTTTGTGGGAATTTTAGGGAATTTTGTGGGAATTTTGGGAATTCTGTCTCCTCACCTTTTTCCCGGAGCGCTGGGCGAGGCCTCCCTGGAAACCAAAAAGAAAATTTGGAATTTTTCTGCTCAGGGAAGGGAATTTTCCCCTCCCCCACCCCCAAATTCCCAATTTTTTGGGATTTCCCCCCTTACTTGGCCGGGGGGTCCCCGGGGGCTTTCCCAGGCTCCTCCTCCAGCGGCTCCCTGGAAAATTCCGGAATTTGGGAAGCTCCCAGAAACCTGGGAACTCCCCAGAGATCCCAAAATTCCCAAAAAAACCCCAAAAATTCCCAAAATTCCACCCAGGGAGGGTCCTGGGGATCCCAAAGTTCCCTTTGGAAATCCCCAGAAATCCCCCAAAATCCCAAAAATTCCAAATAAACTCCCAAAATTCCCATTAAAACCCCTCAAAATTCCCATTTTGGATCCCAAAATCTCCCAAAATCCCAAAAATTCCCGGGTTTCTGCCCCAAATTCCCACTAAAACCCCGCAAAATTCCCATTTTCCATCCCAGAATTCCCCAAATTCCCAGATTTCTGCCCCAAATTCCCATTGAAACCCCTCAAAATTCCCATTTTTCCACCCCAAAATTCCCAGATTCCTCCCAAAATTCCAATTAAAACCCCCAAATTCCCTCTAAAACCCCTCAAAATTCCCATTTTGGATCCCAAAATTCCCAAAATTCCCAAAACTCCTCCCAAAATTCCCTCTAAAACCCCTCAAAATTCCCATTTTGGATCCCAGAATTCCCAAAATTCCTCCCCAAATCCCCTCTAAAACCCCTCAAAATTCCCATTTTCCATCCCAGAATTCCCCAAATTCCCGGATTTCTGCCCCAAACCCCTCAAAATTCCCATTTTGGATCCCAAAATCTCCCAGAATTCCCAAAACTCCTCCCAAAATTCCAATTAAAAACCCCAAATTCCCATTAAAACCCCTCAAAATTCCCATTTTTCCACCCCAAAATTCCCAGATTCCTCACAAAATTCCAATTAAAACCCCCAAATTTCCACTAAAACCCCTCAAAATTCCCATTTTCCATCCCAAAATTCCCCAAATTCCTGGATTCCTGCCCCAAATTCCCTCTAAAACCCCTCAAGATTCCCATTTTGGATCCCAAAATTCCCAAAATTCCCAAAACTCCTCCCAAAATTCCCTCTAAAACCCCTCAAAATTCCCATTTTCCATCCCAGAATTCCCAAATTCCCAGATTCCTGTCCCAAACCCCTCAAAATTCCCATTTTGGATCTCAGAATTCCCAAAATTCCCGGATTTCTGCCCCAAACTCCCTCTAAAACCCCTCAAAATTCCCAAATTCCTCCCAAAATTCCAATTGAAAACCCCAAATTCCCATTAAAACCCCTCAAAATTCCCATTTTGGATCCACTCCCTCTAAAACCCCTCAAAATTCCCAAATTCCTCCCAAAATTCCAATTGAAAACCCCAAATTCCCATTAAAACCCCTCAAAATTCCCATTTTGGATCCTAAAATCTCCAAAAATTCCCAGATTCCTGTCCCAAATTCCCATTAAAACCCCTCAAAATTCCCATTTTGGATCCCAGAATTCCCAAATTCCCGGATTCCTGTCCCAAACCCCTCAAAATTCCCATTTTTCATCCCAGAATTCCCGGATTTCTGCCCCAAACCCCTCCAGATTCCCATTTTGGATCCCAGAACTCCGGGAATTCCGGGATTCCCGCCCCAAACTCCCTCTAAAACTCCTCAAAATTCCCAAACTCCTCCCAAAATTCCAATTAAAACCCCCAAATTCCCATTAAAACCACTCAAAATTCCCATTTTTGATCCCAAAATTCCCCAAATTCCTGGATTCCTGCCCAAATTCCCACTAAAACCCTTTAAAATTGCCAAATTCCTCCCAAAATTCCAATTAAAACCCCTCAAAATTCCCATTTTGGATCCCAAAATTCCCAAAATTCCCGGATTCCTGCCCCAAATTCCCTCTAAAACCCCTCAAGATTCCCATTTTGGATCCCAAAATTCCCAAAATTCCCAAAACTCCTCCCAAAATTCCCTCTAAAACCCCTCAAAATTCCCGTTTGGATCCCAGAATTCCCCAAATTCCTCCCCAAATTCCCTCTAAAACCCCTCAAAATTCCCATTTCCATCCCAGAATTCCCGGATTCCTGCCCCAAACCCCTCCAG